GTGAACGTCGACACCGCCGGTTTTCACCCGGGAGTTACTGACTGCGGCTCGCACTCCAATGTGACTGATCTCCCTACATTTTTGTTATGTGATGAACTGTAACTATGTAATTAAACAGAATTCTGACAATCATATCCTCTGAACCTTTAAAATGTCACTTATTCCTTTATTTATTGGCTTGCTATTTTCAAAATAAAGTAAAAGAGGCCCTTTAGTAAATGCAAGATTGCTGAGAATTCATTGTGTATTTCCCGTGTGTTTTCTAATAGGATATAATTTTTACTAGGTTGACTCTGGTTTGGTGGCATATTAATATTGAAAATGACACCGGCGACCAACACTTTCATTTTCCAGGGAGGTGATACCCAGTTTTATTAAGTGGCTTTGACAACGTTGCACGGCTAGAAAGCAGCTTTCCCTCCAGCACTAGGGAGTCCTGACAGCGAAGGCCTGGTAGACCAGCAGCCCCCGCTGGGGGCACGGGGCCTGCGTCCCGACTGTTCCCACCCACGAGGCAGCAGCCTCGGTCCCTGGGATCTCGATGCGTCAGGAGATGCACTTAGAGTCCGTTTCTCAAACGTGACCTTTCAATATTAGCTGGGCTGTTCTTGCTGGTTTACTAGGTTAATTTGTTAGTGGCATTTCTTGCTTTCAGAGAGCTATGCCTTTAAAGAGGGGCAAAGTCTCCATAATGCGAGAGAAACCACGTGAGCGAGAGAGCTGGCATCAAAGAGATGCCCCTCGTCGCAAGGCCCAGCCCAGCAGCAGCTACTCGCATTCCCGTCGTGCGCAAAGAAAAACAAAACCAGGCAATCGCGGCGCGCGGAGGAACCGCAACCCCCACTTCCAAGCTAGTCCAGACATGCATTAGACAAGGCTACAGGATTTTGATATCGACGTGGTGAATTGTTTAAATAAACATTTGAGCAAGAACTGGATAAAGTAGCTCAACATTCAGGGGAATATGATTTATCCCAGTACCAGGGTGTTTCAGGAAATCACGCTGCTAACTTATGATCTCAGAGGCCAGTCAATCACTCAGCACCCACTGAGCGCCCACCACCTACAGGGCCCTGGCAGAGACCATGGGCGCCTCTGGCCCTTGGCTCTCACGGCCTTCAGCACGCGGTGCACGCTTCCCCTGGGGGCATGGCGCTGGCACTGAGGGGCAGGGCCAGGTGAGCGGGCCGCCTCCCAGCTTCCCGAGTCCTTCCCTCAGGGCCGGCTCTGGGTGTCCCCTCCTTCCCCCTCCAGTCGCACCCTCTCTCTGGTTAGACCCTGCCTTTGTAATCACAGTAAATTATTATACAACAGTCTAGCCCAACTCCAAAATTACCTCTTGCTATTTGAATCGTATACATTTTCTAAAAATTCCCTATTCCTCTCCTGACACAAACCCTCACATAAGAGGAAAGGATGCCCTTGAATCACAGGCGCTGTCCCACTGTCACACTCTCCCGAAAACTCGCAGGCTCTGTGCCGAGGGGCACGCGGTGCCGGGCCCCAGTCCAGCCAGAGTCGGGGCTCCCTCCCCCGTCTCCCTGTTTTCCAGGCTTCCTCCCTCACTCACCTGGACTTGCTGTGAACAACTCGAATTGTTCAAATACATTAACTGCTTTTTTCATAAACCAGCGTCGGCCTCCGGTGCACAAAACCCACCCTGCCGCCTCCTCCAGCCACAAACCCAAGTGTAACAGGGCGTGCTCGGCCCTTGCTCGGGGCACTGGTCGCGTACCTGCGGCCCGGCCTGTGTCCTTTGTGCCGGGACATTTCCTAGAGCTCATTCCAGGTCTTACGTTTCCTCTCGTCTCTTTCCTGGATGGAGGGAGACATCGGGATGACAGCTCTGCAGAGAGAATCAGGGCTCAGGGCCCCCGTGAAGGACCCAGGTAACTTTCCTAGGAAGCCCAGATGTTGGGGTACCTGTTGCCCCGGGGGCTCCGGAGAGATCTTCTAGGCCCTTGGTGAGGAGTGTGACATAAGCTTATGCAAATACACACACAGTGAGCTAAAAAGAGGCGATTGTTTGCTCTGGGCGGGCAGGAAAGCTCTTTGGTAGAGAAAACGGCATTTTCACCACGTGCTCCAACCGAGAAGTGTGCTGACCAAGTCATAAAAAGTCACCAACTATGGAAACGATCAAACTTTAACACAGATATTTCAGAAGGACGGGCACAAGAGAAACGCAGGCATGCGTCGTGAGTTATTTGGGAGTAAGACATCAATCAAGAACGTCTAAAACTGGAAAAAACAACAACCTGGTAGTTCTATAAGCATGTTATTCAGAAAAGTAGAGAGAAATAAAAATATCAGTTAGAAGAAGTGACATTTGTTGTCTCGACGTCAGGAAAATGGGAAGGGCAGGGAACAGTTTTCTGCAGAAAACCTTGTATAGCACTTTGACTCTTTGAACTGCAGGTAATTATAAAATGCACCCAATGCTGCACCAACATAGACGTCACAAAGTGCCAATGGTTTGAATTTTCTTCCATTAACCATTCATGTGAACATCATTCTGTAGAAATCCTTGCCTAATCTTCTTTGGTGGCAAATGAAACTAACGATCCTGGGACTCTGCATTTTATTCATTCAAACAGCGGAATACAGTACGTCCAGGCGAACATTTGCATGCAAAACCCGAAAGTCTGAAATTACACATAAACCTGCAAAAATGCTCTAAAAGAGGGTAACTATATAGCATCATTCAAGCGGGGAAAATGGGCCATAAATGGGGATTACTGCGGACATTTATCACCCATGCCACCAATTCAGATCTCTTCTTACACCTTACAACGTAGTTAGTGCTTTAACCTGGAAAAACATAATATGTAAACCAACTTGAAGGTTTAAAATTTCCTTTGCAAGCACTGCAGTTATTCCAGAACTTCTGCCTGTAACTATCCACTGCTAGCAATAGAAAAGTGTTTTTAAAAATCTTGTTTTTATTTTTCAGATAAATGTATGAAAGCCTAGAGACTTGGCTTAGGATGATTCCAATGAACCAACCAATGAAAAAATATAAACGTGAAGGCCAACGCTTTATAGACCCTACATTCTAATAGTGCCAAACTGATGATGATAATAAATTAATGGTGTTACACGTTTATGTAGCTTTAGGTTTTTCAAAGATACCGTCTCATCACTGCTGTGGAAAGAAGCTAACCCTTGCGTTCACCATTTAGCCTCTCCGCCTGTACTTCATAAGCATCTTAATTCTACGACATCTTTGATCAAGCAGTACAAGGCTACAGCACATTGTGACGACCAAGGAGACGTGTGGCGACTGCAGGGATCCCTAATACAAGTGGACCCCGCCATTTGGAAAGTCGCTGCAAAGCAGCTGCAGCTTCTCTTGAATACGGCGCTAGATAAACCAACATAGCTTAAGCGAACCTGCTAAAATTATTTCTATTTTACTCTATCTTGTAAGTTGATGTATTTAAAATTGATATGTATTTTAGTAATAAACTGAGTTACTTAAGTCATTCTATGAATGTGAATATTTACTAAGAAAGATAGCCCCACCCACCTGCCTCCCACCCACAAGCATGATGACAATTTAAGGATGTTCCTATGCCACTTGCTCAGCATGCACGGAGTCCCTTGAATGACATTTCAAGGTCACTCTGATGATCATATAACCAATAGTCATGGTAGGTTAATTAGAGGCATCCTTTCCCTGGCAAAACTATGCATTCTACAATGCAGTTTAACAAACTTGCCTACTTTCTCATCAAATGGCAATTCCCTTTTGTTGGTTACTTTAATGTGGATATTAAAATAGCGGCATTCAAAGGAAACAGATTTTTATTTAATGAATTCCATATCAATATAAATTATACACATAAAAAAGAATCTTAGGAAGCATCTTGCTTCCTAAGTAGCACCTTGCAAACAAGATTTAAAACATAATTTAATTCAATCCTGACCTTTCATTCTATGAATGTTTTGATCTCTTTCCTTAGTAACAATCAGAATAGTAGGTAGAACAGATTGTGTGTGTGCATGTGTGTGTGTGGGGGGGGGTGTACAGGGTGTCCCAAAACAATGTACTGTGTACACACACTTTGAATAATTATAAAGGCAGTGTTTATTAAAATACGTTTCATTTTCAAAATTGAGCTATCAGCTGTTAAAGTGTGTATACATTTTTGGGACACTATATATATATATATATATATATATGTCTATACACACACTATATATGTATGTACACCATATATGTTATATATAATATATATGTGTATTATATATGTATATACACAGTATATATATTATATATGGTAGTATTTAAAACTCTAGAAAATTAGGTATAATAGTAAAGAGAATATAATGAAAGTGCTTTGTTAAGGTGTCCAGAGGGGGGAAATGAACAGAATTTCATCAGTGTAACAGCTGAGAGTGGAACAGACTGGCAGGGAGGTCAGGGAAATTTCTGCAGACTGAGGGTTCCGGATCCCTGAGGACACCCTGAGCTCTATCATGTAAGTCAACTCTCTACCAGACAGAAACGAAGACAGCGAATTGGCAGGAGTCACTGGCAGCCATTGTGGGAACACAAGCAGAAGCCCGACAAGAGCTAGGCTGACACCAGTGAAGGGGATCCAACTCCATGGAAGGGGCTCCGGGAGCTGGTTTGTGCCCACCCTTGATTTCAGACACAACATTCAAGGCCTGGTCAGTAACCCTCGCCTGACGCTGGGCCTACCCTGGATGGTTCTGATACATGAGTCAGTAAGTTGCCTTTTACCTCTACGATCATCAGAGTCGAGTTTGCTGAAACACTTCTGTTGAGAATGTTCTTTGGGTGACGGAAGGCACCCACGCCAGGGAGAGCAAGGGCAGGCGGATCCGGCGGGTCCGTGTCCAGGTCCAGGCCGGCAGCAGTCAGGGCTCCAGCTGGTCACCGTGCCCTGCAGCCGGGGGGGCAGGATGGAGGGAACCTCTGCCCCCCAAGCACAGTCCTGGGACT